TACTTCAGCGTTAGAGTTATCAATCTGCCGCTCCAGGCAGCATTGTGAGGCCAGCAGCCCAGCAGAGTGGGCAGAACAAGGGCTTTTGAGTCCACAGAACTCTGGCTCTGTACATTCTTGCTCTGTAAACTTGTACAAACAAACAATCTACTCTCTCTATGACTCCGTTTCCATGTCTGCAAAGTGGGAACAATTGTAGCATCGACTTCATCCTATTGTCATGAAGATTTCATGAGATGATATGTTATGCACAGTGAAAAACTCAACTAATGTTAGAAATTGCAATGCATCCTGGGAGGCATTTATTGTTCCCTTTTTGCAGATGAGAAAATGAAGGCTCAGAGAGGTTAAAGGGCAGTAGTCACACAATTGGTTAGTAGTTGGTTAAGAATAAGGAGACCAGTTCTGCCTCAGGATTCAGCTCAGCCTCCTGACTCCACATCAAGGGCCCTTGCCTCACCACTATTGAGTGTAGACCAGCGGTTCTCAACCTGTGGGTCACGACCCCTTTGGCAGTTGAATGATCCTTTCACAGGGGTCGCCTAAGACCATCCTGCATATCAGATATTTACATTACGATTCATAACAGTAGCAACATTACAGTTATGAAGTAGCAACGAAAATAATTTTATGGTTGGGTCACAACATGAGGAACTGTATTGAAAGGGCCAGAAGGTTGAGAACCACTGGTGTAGACGTTGAACGTGGCTCTGGGCCATGAGTCAGAAATGTCTGCCTCCAGCATCATGAAAGGCCATGTTATTGATTAAGCTCTAGGTCCTGGAAACTGGATGCTTCAGGGTTGAGGTAGGAGCTTATTGCAGCCTTTTTATAAGGCAGTGTTTGCACAGACACCAGCCTAGGAAATGAAGCCTGGCACTAATCCCTAGCCCAAGCCCAGAGGAGCTGGGCTCAGGGGTAAGTCAAAAGTCCTTTCATTTTCTCAACTTTCCCTCCCTCTGGCAATGCTTCCTTGATGCTCAAAGAATACTTTGCTTACCCTGACATTACAGCCTTTTTCACACTCTCTTGGGTTATAGTATTTTGGGGTATCCATCTGATTCCCCTGTTGGAACAATGGGCTCCAAAGTGGGGTGGCCAAGATGATACACCAAGGGGTGGGAAAAAAAATATGTGAGCACTTGTTTCTTTTTATTCTTTACTAGAGGCCCGGTGCATGAAATTCAAGTGGGGGGGGGGTGGCGGGGGTCCCTCAGGCCGGCCTGCACCCTCTTGCAATCCAGGACCCCTCTGGGGATATCCGACTGCCGGTTTAGGCCTAAACTGACAGTCAGACATCCCTCTTGCAATCTGGGACTGCTGGCTCCTAACTGATCGCCTGCCTGCCTGCCTGCCTGATCACCCATAACCACTCTGCCTGCCTGCCTGCCTGATTGCCCCTAACCACTCGCCTGCCTGCCTGATCACCCCTAACCACTCTGCCTGCCTGATCGCCCCTCACCACTCACTTGCCTGCCTGATCTCCCTAACCACTCACCTGCCTGCCTGATTGCCCCTAACCACTCTGCCTGCCTGCCTGATCACCCTTAACTGCTTGCCTGCCTGCCTGATTGCCCCCTAACCACTCTTCCTGCTTGCCTTATCGCCCCTAACCACCTCTGCCTCAGTCCCTGCCATGGCGGTTTTGTTTGGAAGGACGTCTGGAATGATGTCTGGAAGGTCATTCAGCTGTCCAGTCTAATTAGCATATTACGCTTTTATTATTATAGGTACTAAATATTAGGAAAGTTAAGCTTTACAAATATCTAAAAATTATTACAGTAGAGCATATATAATTTATAATAAGTATGCAATTGTTGGGAGTGCATGCAAAAAAATTTTTTTAATCCTCACCTGAGGATATTTTTCCATTGATTTTTAGAGAGTGGAAGAGAGAGAGAGAAATATCTATGTGAGAGAAACACATTGATTGGTTGCCTTCTGCACATGACCCGACCAGGTCCCCCAGCCAGGAGGAACCTGTAATCTCAGTACGTGCTGTTGACAGGAATTGAACATGGAATCCTTTGGTCCACAGGCCAATGCTCTATCCACTGAGCAAAACCGGCTAGGGCCATGCTAAACTTTTTTTTTTTTTTGATGGAGTGTAATGATGAAAAGAGTTTGGAGGTTGTTTGACAGGAAGCTGCTAGAGAGCAAGAGGTATATCTTGTTCTGACTGTATCCCTCCCCCATCCTCACTATCTAGCACTTAATGACTATTCCCCAAAGAAATGAATTTGGCATTGATCTGAACTTGGTTGTCTTTTCCCCCCTCCTTTTATCATCCATCTGATATAATACTGTCCTGTTCAGTAGTCTGCCAAGACCTGAGCAAATAAGAAAGCTGTGTTTGAGGAATAAAAAGTGCCAAGTGCCAGGATTGAAAAGTACAAGACTGATGTTCCCAAAAATGAGTTCATGGCAGTTAATGAGGTGTACAGCAGGCAAGAGTAAAACCTCACGGGAGAGCTCATGGGCACAGAGCCAGGCGCGGGGCGCCAGCCCTGCCATCTGAGGAATCGTGTGGTTTGAGCAACTGAATATTTTCAAAGTGAGCACTGCCCTTCCTCTTCCTCTTCCTCTCAAAGCAGCCGAAGGCAGCACAACACAGTGAGCAAGGGTCTTGGAGAAAGAAGTCCCAACTTTGTCACTCTCCCTGGCTGGGTGATCTTAGGCAAGGCCCCTAACCAAGTCTTCCCCTTCTCCCAGGAAAACAGCGCTTTTCCTACAATTGAGGTTGGACAGGATGATGTTGGAGATCCTTTCATGCTCTAAAGCAGTCCTGAATGTAGAAGTTAGTATTTTTCTACAAAAGGTAATTTACACTTTGAGGGCGCCATGAAGCCCACTGAACCAAAAATATCACCTCACCCCCAAGCCTTCCATGGAGTGTGACATCCCCTCCTCAGACACTGTGTCTCCATGCACGGCTTACCAACCTGTCAGTAACTTATTGGCACACAGCCACTTCAAGTCTCAGTTATGTCCATTTTACATGTAGAGTGAGACAGCAAGTTATAAAAGATTATACACATGTCACCTATATCTAGAAATAAATATAAATATATGTGTATATACACAGAAAAAGAGCTTAGAGATACCTACCATACTTTTAACATTGATTATTCCTATGGAATAGGAAAGTGGAGATGAGAGTAGGGACTTTACTATTTATTTTCAATTCTTCTATAATGTTTGCTTATTTTTAATAAATAAACTATTTTATTAATTAAAATAAAACTTTTTAAAAAAAAGTGAAACTAGACCACCAACTTACACCATGCATAAGAATAAATTCAAAAGGACACAGACACCAGGGGGGTGAAGGCATGAGTGGAGGGCTGGGGGGGGGATGGGGGGAAAAGGACACATATGTAATACCTTAATAAATAAAGAAAAAAAGAAAGAATAAACTCAAAATGAATAAAAGACTTAAATGTATTTAAGAAAAAAATAAGCAAGTCTCCTTCCCTTTCTTGACCTCTTATTTTCCCAGTTCCCCTCTCTGGAGGTAGCCATAATTGCTAGTTTCTTATGTCTTCCTCCAGAGATATTCTGTGTGTATGTAAGTATATCTATGTATATCTATGTAACACTTGAAAAACCACCAAACACAGAAATGGGGTCATTCATAGACATTTGTTTCATATCTTGCTATTAAACTTAACAATACATATTGACATAATTTAAAGGTACCTCATTCTTTTTAATGGCTGCTTAGTATTCCATACAGTATATAGAATGAATATACTACAATATATGCAGTCTGTGTACTACTGTAAATGGTTGGGTTGCTTACAGTTTTATGACTACAAATTAGGTTATAATGTTTATCCGTATAAATACGTCTTCAATATGTCTTAGTGCCCAGTGCAAGCATATTCACAGGATAAATTTCTTGTGGTAAAGTTGCTGGGTCAAAAGGTATAACTTTTTAACTTTGACCTTTGGTACCAAACTGAAGTACAAATAAACTGCCCCAATTTTCAAATTCACAAAAACATGTTTTACATTTTCTATCTCCCCATTATCCTCACCTCACCAGTATGTATTATCATATTTTTATAATGTTGCCATTCTGATAGGTTAAAAGTGGTTTCTCATTGTTTGAATGCTCATTCTTACAACCATGAGTGAGGTTGACAGTGTTTTTCTTATATTTAAAAGCCATTTGTTGGACACAACTAAACCATAGTAGTCAGGGATGCCACTTGGTTGGTAAGACCTCAAAATTAGAAGGAAGTGATTTCTACAGAAGTCAGTATAGTGGTTACTTTCAGGGGAAGGGAGGCAGTTATGATCACCACAGAGCACATGGAGGGCCTCTGACATGGCTGACCAAGTTCTGTTTCTTATTCTGGGTGACGATTAAAAGTGTGCTTACTATATAACATTTGTTTTGTTTGCTTGTCTGTATATTTTTTTGTTGTATTTTTGTTTTATTTTATAATAAAAAGTGGCTTTAAAATTTAAAAATAAAAAAGCCATTTGTATGGATTTACCAATGTATTCTATTTATGTCCTTTGCCTATTGTTTTCTATTAGACTTTGATCTGTTTTTAATTCTTTTACAAGAACTCCATATTTTAAGGAACCCAGCCCTTTTTCTATTAGTTGGAAATATCTTTCCCATTTGTTTTTTGGTGTCCTGGTTTTCTTTTCTTTTTGCTTTTTTGACTCACAGAAATCTTGCATTTTTATGGAGTCAAATTTGTCCATATTTTTGCTTATGGCTTCTGCATTTGCTCAGAATGGCTTTTGCTTGGGAAGCTTCTCATGGTCTCAACATTGCAGCTGCTAACTTAGAAAACAACACTCGAGATTTCTGGTTAAGGACCACAGATTAAACAAAGGCATTATGCTCCACTCCCTCCTAGGGCTTGACCAAAAGTTAATGTTTGATGAAGTAATACATTCACATGGTTCTAAAAAGAAAAAAAGAAAAGAAAAAGGCACAGAACAAAAGTATCCCTCATCCGTGTCTCCCGTTGGCCCAGGTCCCACCTTCTGCCTGTCCATAGTGAGCGCTGCTACCAGAGCTTCTCCAGAGGCCTGGGAAAGCTGCATTCTACGCCAGCGGACGAGAAAGCTCAAGCAACTCACGTCACATTTCAGAATCCACCGTGTGCTCCGCCACTGGTGGCCCAGCCAGGTACTTTGTGAGTATTTTGCGAGTAAAGTTGTGGTTAAAAAGAGCAGGATGAATTGAAAGTCCGTTCAAGAGGCATCGAGATCCTCAGACCCCTAGGTCCCCTTGCTGCTCTCAGGTGGACTGCTCCTGCCCCACAAAGCCCAAAGAAAGCAGGTTTTTCTTCTGGTGGGAGAGTAAGAGAGAGGGAGGACCAGGCAGAGTTGTGTGAAAGGACAACAGACAGGAAAAAAAAAAGATTACCTAGAGACCCCCTGCCTTCTCTCCTTGTGTAGGTAGTGCAACCCTGGCATCCAACCAGGAGATTATAAAAGTTTTCTCTGGGAACCTGACACACTGGAGAGAAACGCCCTAAAGATCATCTGACAACAGCAGCATTTCTGAGAGAAAAAGAAAAAAAAATTATTAATTGTCTCATAGAGTTAAGAAGGAATTGTGCACACATAAAATAAAAACAGAAGACTATTTTTTAAAAAGAAACTTTTAGGGAACAAAAAAAAAGAGGCCTTAGAAATGTAGATATGATTGCAAAAAATAAACTCAGTAGAAGATTTGGAAAGTAGACAGTAAAGTATAAAGATAAGAGATGGAACATAGATATAAGAGCACAAGTAGTTTATTTGGGAGATGATCCCAGGAAACACCTGTAAGGCAGTGGGAAGTGAAACAAGGAAGCCAATAAACCCAGCAAGTTACTGTGAACAACTGGGACGTGATTCCTTTGGGGAATTCTGGAGACCAGTGTAGAAATGGTGCCTCAAAGTTATCCCCAGTCAGGGCTGAGGAAACTGGGGTATTTATCTACTAACTCTTATCAGTCAGTGGTTAACGGCTGCTCCCAGGGAGAAGGGGGTTAATTCCCTAAGATTTTCTGAGCAAACTTTCAGTGGCCAGAAAAAGCCCTCAGGCAAAGAGACATTTATGCTGGTAATTTAGAATGCATAGATGTGGTAGGTGCCAAGAGATTGTGGACAGGGCATTGATGGCATCTGTTATATCTTCCTAGAAATCTACTCTTTCTTAGAAAATTACTGAAGGATGTGCTCCACCAAAACAATGGAGTGAAGCAAGAACAAGAAAGAGGGAGACTGCAAGAACCAGATTAGTCAACACAACAGGTGAAGGGAATCCCCAGGATGTGATGAAGGGAGATTCCAAGGTGACAGCTGTACTGTGTGGAATTAACACAGAGAGATTAAAAGGAAAAAAAATCAAATTTTAATATGTGTGCATGGAGAATTCACCTATGCATGAAAATTCCAAAGACAGTGATTCAACATTGGGTATATAAGACATTTTGGACAAAGAAAAAAAAAGAGGAGGGGGGAGGTAGGGGGTATTAGATTTTAGAAGTGAGAGTGGGCAGTTTACAAGTAGTTGAGAAGCATACGTGGCAGGAAAATGCTCCTAGGCAACCCAGGAACAATGGGACCACTGGGTGTCTAGCTAACAGGCTTGGGTCTTCCTGACTAAGGCTAGGGTGAAGATGTGTAATGTGATTAAGCCAAGGGTCTCTCCTAAAGCAGGGTTTCTGCCTGAAGCTCTTGGGTCTGAAACAAGCGGAGGGTCAAAGATTCTTTCTGAGCTTTGTTTCTTTTCTTTTAAAACAAAAATTTTTAAAAATTGATTTCAGAGAGGAAGGGAGAGGGAGACAGAGATAGAATCATCAAGGATGAGAATCATCAATCAGCTGCCTCCTACACGCCCCCTAATGGGACTGAGCCCGCAACACGGGCATATGCCCTGACCAAGAATTGAACCCTGACTTCCCCAGTTCAGCGATCCATGCTCAACCACTGAGCAACACCGGAGAGGCGAGTCTTGTTTCTTAATAAACAGCTTAAAATGAATGTCCCAAAGGCAGCTTTAGAATGGCAAAACGTTGGTTCCCTTCAACAGCAAGCCTAGAGATTAATCAGCCCAGATAGGAACAGATCAGAAGGAGAGAGTAGGTAGGGATTCAATTAGTGACACATGCAGAGGAAAATCTAGGCAAATGAAAAATGACACAATTATTAACTCCAGAGAAAGCAAAATGTTACTCAGGAAATTGATCATAATTTATTATACCACACAGATGTGAATAGTATTTATTTGATCAAAATAATAAAAACACTGAGTATCAATCTAATGATAATATAGGTATATAAGCCAGAAAATATGTGTGTGTGTGTGTGTGCGTGTGTGTGTGTGTGTGTGTAGTCAAATCTCCATTTTCCACAGTGGAAAGCCGATAGATTTTAGGAAGTAGCTGTTTTAGAGAGATGGTGATACGTAAGAAAGGGGAGGGGCATTAATTAAAGCATTGGAAGTGGTTTTATCTAAGGAATGAGAAATGGGAGGAGGTGAAATGGGGGACTGCTATTAAATAGTATAAAACTATTCTATTCTTGAAACTATGCATGTTTAACTGTTATATAAATAACTAAATAAAAACAGTAATTTATCTTTTTTCTTCTGCTGTATGAAAAAAGGAGGAGGTAGGAGGAATGAGCATCATTCGTCGCTGATAAGGAAGGTAAGGGAAACTTTCTTGTTCCTTGAGTCCATCAACCCAGCAGAGGTGTTGTCTTTTCATCTCCTTTTGAGGCAGGAAAAAAAATTATGTGCAACGGGCAATTGAGACTTTAAAAATCTCTAAGAGCTGCTGATGCCAAATTGGCCTGAAATCTGGGGCTGTCCTGAAAGTGTTTGGGCCCAAGGAAATGATCCAAGGTAAATGCCAAGAAAGGCTTTTATCAAATTCTAAAATAAAGCCAATTACTTGAAGGGCATTATAGCTAGCACTAAAGTGTTCAGCAGAATAAATTATTTTTAAAAATATATTTTTAAATATGCCTTTAAAAAATTTTCTTTTTATTAATTTCAGAGCAAGGAGAGAGCAGGGAGAGAGACAGAAACATCAATAATGAGAGAGAATCATCGATTGCTGCCTCCCACATGCTCTCCACTGGGGATCGAGCCTGAAACTTGGGCATGTTCCCTGACCAGGATTCGAACTGTGACCTCCTGGTTCATGGGTCAACGCTCAACCACGGAGCCATGCTAACTGAGCTGAAATAAATTCTTAATTGTGTCTGTATATAAATTTTCCTTTAAATGCCAATTGCCTTAAAGTCCAGAATTTAAAAATAGGACTCTTTTCATTTTTAAAAATATATGGAAATGGTTTGTACACATCACTTAATCTCAAATGTTTTTCAAGTATAGTTGACATATATTATATTAGTTTCAGGTGTATCACATTGTGATTAGGCATTTATAAAACTTACAACATGATTACCCCAATAGGTCTAATACCCACCTGGCATCACACCTAGTTATTACAGTATTATTGACAATTATACTGTACATCCCATGACTATCTTTATAACTGGCAATTTGTACTTCTTAATCCCTTTCCCCTTTGCAGAGTTTTGATTAACCATATCTATCACTGAAATCACATTGCTCAGGTCTGCGGTCCAATTGTGACACAGGAGTCTACTACCTTCTAATTGCAGGCAACATACCCACGGGAATGGGGCCTTCTGAAAGCTACCTCAGTGCCACCTTCTCTTCCTGTCTTCAATCTCTAGCCACTGGATCCTTCTCCTCAGCCTAGAAAATGCTCAAAAATCCCCCCACCTAAAATACAAATAAATAAGAAACCCTCCTTTTAGCTATCAACCCAGCTTTCTCTTTTCCTTTGTCACAATACATCTGAAAAGAAACTGTGCGAACTTCCTTCTCTACCTTCACTTCCTCACCACATGCTACTTCCTCACCCTGTGCCATCTAGCTTCCGCTCTGACCTGCTCTCTCCCAGGTCAAAGGAGTTCTTACTTGCTGAATCCCTTGGTCCTGCTTAGTCCTCATCCTCCTCAACCTAAGTCTTGACTTTTTTTAAAATCCTCTCCTCAGGGTCTCTCTGAATCCCCCTCCACACACACACACACACACACACACACACACACACACACACTCCAGACACACTGCTGTGTCTTTCACTTCCTAAGGAACCCAGCTATGACTGCCGTAGGCCCTGTTCCCTCTACCTGGGACTGCCTCCCCACCCCACCCCCTCCGTCAAGGCTGTTTCCAACTTGACTTTCAGGTCTTGGTTTACTATCACTTCCTCAGAGTGCCCCTCCCTCAGTGCCTCCCCTCTCCACCCCACACACCAAAATTTCCCACTTTCCATCTTAGAAATTAGGTTTTTATCTTTACATTTTGTATACAGTTTATAATGATGGACTTCAGTTGTATGTTTATTTGCTTAAATATCTACCTTTCTTCCAGGGTGTAAGTGGCAGGAGGACTGGAACCTTGTCCGTTTTCTTGGTCATTGTGGACTCAGAGGTTCGGCACAGACCCTGGAACAGTAGATCCAAATATTTGTTGGATGAGTGACTGACTGACTGAATGAAGCGCTTTCTTCATGCCAAACGTTTACATATATCACCTTGTTTTTATTTTCACAACAGCTCTATAAATAGGTACTGTTACCAGGGAAAAATGGAAGCATAGAGAGACTGAGTAGTAATACCCAAGATCGCCCAAAAAAAAAATGAGCATGAGAGCTAGAATTTGAAAATGCACTTCTCCAACTCTATGTAGGACTTAATGATCATACTATAGTGCTTCAGAGTTAACAGTTCTATGTTCGCCTTCCAAAACTTCCCTCACTTACTCCCTCATGTCAGTTTCGATGGTTTCTCTTGCATCTTCCTTCCAGGATCTCTTCCAAGCTAAATGAGGGTACGTGGATGGGGGGACCGGTCATGGAAGAGACTGGGCGGTTCTCTAACACCTGTTAGAGAACCTTTGAGGTAGACAACCATGACAGTAGTCAGCAGTCGGACACCATCCTGGCTTGTTCTGTGCCTCTGCTCACTCACTTCCTGCCTCTTCCCCAACACAGGACCTTGGGTTGCTCCTCATGACGGGTCTACCCAGCTTTCTCTCCCTTCCCACAGATGGCCCCAGCATGTTCCAGAACCTCCTCCTGACAGAATGTGCCTGTCCTGAAAAAGGTTCACTCTAGAACGGTAAATGAAGAAAAAGAAATGTAAGCTGAAATACTGTATAGATAGTTGCTATGGGTTGAATTGTGACTCCCTTCCCCTGCCCAATTCATATGTTGAAGTCCTGACCCCTGGCACTCTTATTTGGAAATAGGGTTATCATAAATGTAATTGTTCAAGTTAACATGAGATCATACTGGAGCAGGGTGGGTCAATATGACTGTTGTTTTTATAAAAAGAACGCCATGTGGGTCTGGCCAGTGTGCTCAGTGGTTAGAACACCATTCCACACACCAAAAGGTCGTGGTTTTGATTCCCAGTCAGGGCACATGCTGAGTTTTGGGTTTGATCCCCAATTGGGGCAAATGAAGGAGGCAGCCACCAATCCATGTTTTTCTCTCACACTGATATTTCTCTCTCTCTCTCTTTCCTTCCCCCCTCCCTCTCTCTCTGGAAGAAGGAGAAGGAGAAGGAGGAGGAGGAGGAGGAGGAGAAGGAGGAGGAGGAGGAGGAGGAGGAGAAGGAGAAGGAGGAGGAGAAGGAGAAGGAGAAGGAGAAGGAGAAGGAGAAGGAGAAGGAGAAGGAGAAGGAGAAGAAGAAGAAGAAGAAGAAGAAGAAGAAGAAGAAGAAGAAGAAGAAGAAGAATGCTCTGTGGAGATACAGAAATGCACAGGGGTGAAGATAAAGGCCCAGATTGGAATGACACAACAGAAGCCAAGGAAAAACAAAGATTTCCAGAAAACCACTAGAAGCTAGGGCAGAGTCCTGACATTCTCTCACAGCCCTCAGTGAAAACCAACCCTGCCAACACCCTGATCTTAGACGTCCAGCCTCTAGGACCTGAGACAATAAGTTTCTGTTGTTTAAGCCACTCAGTTTGTGGTGCATTATTGTGCCTGTCTAGTGAACTAATAGAAATAGTATAATCCCAAACCCATCTATGTCATGAATATCCTGCTCTCTCCCTCCCCCTCCCCTCACACACACACACAACTAAAAGGAAATAACAGTTTACAAATAAGTTAACAGTGGTTCTTTTGGGAGGGTGAATGATGGGTGATGATGCTTTGTACTTTTTTCCTGCACTTCTGGGTATTTTCTGAATTCTCTCCCATCTCTAAAGTATTATGTATTGTTACATAGACAAATCCTGGGCGCCAGCTTCCTCAGCTGTAATTTGAGAAGAGCCATAACAATCTTCAGCATTCTTATAAGGATTAAAGTGGCTGACACATAGTAGGTCAGCTAGTGTCCCTAGAGTCAGGAGAGCAGCTCCAAAGAAGTAAAACTGGGCATTCATCATTCAGGGCTCACTTGGTTCTTAAATGAAGGCTTCCCCAGGGCTGCTAAGCAGGGAAGTGGCTGCTGCTCAGCCCTGGCCTCTGCGTGGTGAGGCTGAAGGTGGAGAGTGAAATGGCAGGAGGGAGCTGGCTAGACACCTTGGGTCTGGGAGGGTCAGCAAGACAAGCAAGAGGGGTTGGATTGAAAGGTTGGCTGGAGGAAGATTGGTGGAAGGAGGATGACTTAATCCATTTGGGGTAGTATGTCTTAGATTGGGGTGGCTGTCTGGACGGGCAACTGGAAGGGAAAGAGGCACCAAGATGAAGTAGAAAACACCGCCAGGAAGCAAACGATTCCCTCTAATATGAAGAATGCCCTCCCCCATCGTGTCTTCTCCAAAAGCCCTCTGGAAACGGAGCGAGCAACATAACTTACTTCTAACTTTCCACAGCCCATGGGAAGATGTTCTTTCCCAAGGAGGGGTGTTTTCCAAACATCCCTCTTTTGGGCCATACCTGGGATAAGATGTTCTTTTCTGGAAACTGTTTAGGTAGATGCTACCCAAACATTCAGCCTCGCCTCTGACTTATCTCAACAGGGAGGGTTCATTGTCTTGAATCTTGAATTTAGCCATTTGTGACTTCAAATTAATCTTTGCTTTTCAAAAATTAGGGTTGTTTTGCTTCTTTGTACTTAGCTATGTCTTCTATATTCCCATCCAAAATCCCAGCAATTTAGGGAAGATTTGGGTCCCCACAAATGCCTGTCACAACCCATTCTTTTAGTGGAGGTCACTGATGGCTTTTGCCTGGTCCCTTTGCCAAAACCTACATTTCCCCTTTCCTTTATATCTGCAAGATTATGTAGCAACATGGGAAAACATTTACAATATAATGGTAATAGTGAAAAAAAGAGCATATAAAAATTGCATGTAAATTATGATGCTGACTGTAAAAATAAATAAACAAACAGAACATATACTCACATGCATATAAGGAAAATAAGCCCAGAAGACAACAAACCACATAATTAAGAATGGCTATGTTCGAGTACCAGGATTGTGGGATTTTTTTCCTTATTCTCTATTTCCCTAAAATTTTTCATTATAATAAAAAAATACGTATATAATTACGAAACAGCCTTACTAAGATAAGGTAAGGGGCAGAATGAATAACAAAGTTTGATAAAATAAATACAACAAGAAAGCTAGTTGTAGATAAGGCTTTTCTGGCAGTGAATATACATGGTTCTCAGCTCAGTGTGTGAGAGAGAATTCTGACCACAGAATTCTTATGGAAGACATTTAACCACTTGCCATCCTGTGCACTCTGAGAATCAAAGAGGAAGCAATGGCACAAGATTTCAAACCTGTCGAGCATTTGAGAGGAGCTGGGGAGGGGAGAGGGGGCTGGAGTCCAGGCCCATGAGAGGTTTGGGGGCTGTAGAGAGACTGCGTAGATGTCTCTACATCTGGGGGTTTCCGGGAAGTGTGTCAAGCATGACAAGGCGAGGCTCTGATACTGTTTATTTTTAGAAGTCCCTTTGAGAGGAGGATCTTTCACCTCTCACTAAGTTAGCTGTGCTCCTTGGAACCATGGACATCTTTCTGCTGTAGCAGCAGTAGGATCAAAGCACGTGTTTAGAAAGAGAAGTGAAAAACACCAGATGTGAGCAAAACCACAAGGGGAATTTCAGGCAGGCAGCGTGCACCAGATTACCCAATTTGGAATGCGTTCCAAGCCCCAGGACAGGCCGCCCCTCCGAGGATCAGGCTGGAGGGACGGAGGTTATTGATCCTGATTTAAGCCAAATGCCGCTAACTTGACCTGTGACCTTGCTCAAGCCATTGACCTCCTCCAAGCCACTTTCACTGCCTGTAAAGTTTCCTCGGAGGAATATAATGGAAACCATGCTAAATACTAGAGATAAGAGCGAGGCATGATCTTGAAGACTGTTTGGTAAATTGTGTTTGAGTACATAAATACCACAACATATACACACTTCCCATGTGTACATACAAATATTTTGTGGGAACGATACGTGTAAAGAAAACGCAGGGCTTACAGACTGTGTCGTACAAATCACAAAGCAAATCAACCCACAATGTAAACAATCTACATGTTGGCAACTGAAGGGGCTGTGACAGGATATGTTTTTCTGTCACTTACAGCTCTTTAGGTCTCCCAGGGTCACCCCAGAGCTAGACTAAAGCATAGTTAGTACTGAATGAATGTTAGTCGAGAACAGAACTTCAGCTTGGAATTCCAGCTTTCTTTGCCACTCAGTTGTATGTGGCCCTGGGCAAATTACTCCATACTTCTGTGCCTTGGTGTCCTATTCTGTAAAGTAGGGATAATACCAATAACTACCTCATAGACTTGTTGTGAAGATTATATGGAGTAATACAGGGTGTTCCCAAAAATGTATACATGCTTAACAGCTCAATTGATGTTTCTTTCTTTTTAGATTTAACCCATTGGAATTAATAATTATTTAAAGCATATATACATTTTTTGGGACACCCTATATATGTAAGAACTAAGAAAAATGCTGGGTGGATAATTTTAGTTATTGTTATTTTCCTAAATCTTCAACAAGGACTTTAAAGCTCTGCATTTCTTTCGTCTGTGTTCTCATCCAAATGTTTCCCACATTCTTGCTCCATTCCAGAATATTTCCTGTCTGTCTTATTCATCTATGTAGAATACCGCTCCTTCCAGACTTGAAACGAGACCAACTCACCCCTCCCCTTCCACACACACACCAAAACCATTAATTTATTCCTATTCACGCCAACTTTGAGTCAACATCTAGGTTGACCCCACAACCACACATCTTGGAAGCATCACTAAATCCTCTCTTCTCCATCTGCTGGAATTCTTACATAATGAGATGCCCTCTTAGCCAGAGGAGGTGTCCCACTAAAGATGAAAAAGTATGTTTTTCTCCTCGTTAGTAGAAGTTGTCAGTGATGGCAACCACGGTGCAGAAAGGAGAATAACCTTGGAATCACTGAGCATGGCCGTCTTTAGGAGGAGAGGGCAAGGAGAGGAGTCATGGGTCTAGTGAAAAGCGCCCCTTCCACCCCTTTGGAGAGAAGTTGTCATTGGAGAAGAAGAGGGATGTGGTACTGGGTTCAGGAGGGAAGACTCTGGAATTCATCCAAGGGCGGTGTGCCCAGGAAGTGGCTGTATATGCAAATAGGGAAAAAGAAAAAATAATCGGATCAGTGATAGTTGTGATATTTTTGACAATTAGGAGATGATGGGGGCAAGACTGAGTGGAGTGTTGGGGATTCACTTTCCCTAAAGTGTCTATGTGAATGGACTCACTTTGGCCTCATGGAGCAGCAGAGAGAGGACTCGGTCATCACAGCCCTTCCCTGGACCACTTGTTACAGTCCCACCAGCACTAGCATCATTCCTTCCCAGGAGCATCCTTGCCTTCCAGCACCACCAAGTCTGATTGTGATTGTTGTTATCGTCCTTACATTATCACCTGCAAATCACTTAACCATTTATCCTTCCAACATATTATCTTCTAGAATGGTTTTACTACACAATCATTGGAGTCCCTAAAGATGATTCAATTCCATAGAAATGGTTGAGCCCCTATTATACAAGGCTGAATCCTAGGGAACACAAAGATGATTAAAATATGGTCACCACTCTCAAGGAGCTGATATTATATGTTTCTGGTAGATTTAAATTGCTAACTT